ACTTGTACCGAGGTCGATGCTTCTCAGAGCTTGGCCTTTTCCTCTTGAGTTCTAGAGTATCAGGTGTCCGATGTATGGCCCAGGGTCCGCTTCGGGGGCTTTCGGTTCTGCCCAGGAGCTGTAAGCCATCCAGAGCACCAAGAAGAAGGCATAGGCAGGAGAGACATGATCTTTTAGCGGCCTTGGTGCGAAAGAAGCTTGAGAAAGGCTTGCAATTCCACGAGCCCTCGTACTGAGCCCCAGCTTTCGGGCTTGGGGTTCAGGATCCAGAGAGGTCGCAAGAAAAGCCCCGGAAGCCGGGTGGCGTCTACAGATTCATCCTTCCAACCAGGTTTTTTATGTAGCTCTTCCCTGATTGCAACAACGCATGCTGTGAACCCTCGGCGCAATGCTGCTGCCATATCCGCGACAGACCTTCTTGCAACTAACCCGGGCATGAAATATTCATGGCCCCTTTCCCGCCAGCAGGCTTCATGCAGTCGTTCCAGTCGATGCCACCGGTGAGGGCTTGGAAAAGCGACAGCATGCCTGAGAGAGCATCTGGCTGCGGAGGGCATGCCGTTCGTTCGGCAAGTGCTCAGGGGCAGGCCTTGCCACTTGTCGGCCTGAACTTTTGTCCTACTTTTTAACGAAGCTCAGCCCAGCGGCTCAGGGGCAGATTCCCCCACCAGGTCTGCAGATCTTCCATGGAAGCGCCTGGAAAAGGGCACACCAACCAGTTCCTCAAACAGTACACCGTCTTGGGAGCAGTCTGGGGTCGTGCTTTGAACTACTACTAGGTGGTGCTGGCACTGGTGTCTGGAAGCTGTGATAGAAACGACCAGTGTAGTGATGTACCAACGGTTTGTATCTTCCATCAGCCATCAATAGCAGCATGCCCCCTCTCTCGCAAACGTAGCGACGATAGTCACCTTGGACGACTCGGTCGAACCTACGACGCTGCTCAGGTCATGAACACTCCAGACGGTTCTGTTCAAGCCCAGGACACAGAAGAACTACAGCAATGATTCTATGATGGCATTCACGATCATCGTCGCCATCATTACAGAGTGCCTGATGATGATCACGTTTTTGATGCTTACCATGATCATCACCATCATCAACAACATCATCAACACCAGTACAGTATCCTTCACGATCATAGCCGTGACCAAGAACGCTGAAGCACAGCAGGACATTTATCCGCAGAAGGGGCTTCCAGGGTTGTCCAGACCGTGCTGATAGACCATGCCGGTCAGCTCAATGGCCATGATCTCAGTTCGCGAGATGGCATAGGTTTTTGCGCCAGTCCGATGCAACTGCAAAACAGAGAACCCACCATACACCCAGACCGAGCACCGCTCGAACCTGCCATCATGCATCCTTCTGTTTGGCTGTTTGGGGTTAGATCATATATCGCAGCCGCCTTCTGCGATAGACCATTGCATTAATGTGCTTCGGAGACTGTTCAGCTGCAACACCCATACGCATCCAATCGTTTATTGCCAAGTTCAGCTTGAGACTGCAGCACTACTCTGCGCTTGGATCGCTCTGACACTGTTGGCACTCGTCACTGCGAACGCCAAGGCCACTGCTGGTGCCCAAAAACCCACGACGGCGGCTGTTGAGCCCTCGACTTTCCGGAATCTCTGCTGCCAGGCAAGAGTCGTAGATCATAATGAAGAGGAAAGCTGAGGTCCAGAAGAAAGTGCGAAGCGACCTTGGCTTGAAGCTTTTGGGCCGCAGGGTGCGGGAACGACATCCTGCATGATATCATGGACCCCAAAGCCCATGGAGTGCCGGGGTTCAGTCCTAGAGGACATGTACCCTCTGAGAACAGGTCTTCGCGCTGCTAGCAAGACCAGCAAGTCGCGCTCATCATTGTGGGAGAAACGACAGAAGCCATTACTAAGCGTGCTTGTTCTCGCGAGCACCATGACCAATGCCAGAACGACGGCTGGCCTAGCGCTAGTGACTAGTGCCCAAAGCCAGGCCACAAAACGAGGCAGCTGACGATCAGCTGCAGGTTCTCCGAAAAGCGGACAGTGCGGATCAGGCGGATGACCTGAGATTGACACAGGGAACTTGCAGGGAAGCTGCCGGTATGTGTGCAAAACCTGAAGGCCACAACAAGATGTAAGACCTTTTACAAGATTTGCCGGGTGCGTGTCCCTTGAATGCCCTTTGCATGGAACCACACTCCAGGTCCAACCTTGATGCCACGCATCACGCCAACCACCCTCCTTGGCTTCAAGGCGTTATTGGCAGGCTTCGCAAACCTCGAAAAGCATTGAACACGAGGAGAGGTTCGCCTGCTCAGAAGTGTTTGCAGTGGCATCGGCACGACTGCTGCCTTTCGCGCGAGTGTCGCTGGCTTCATCTTGACTCTGATGCTTTGTCATTCTTCCCGAGAGTTGCTCATACTAGGCTATTCATACTAGTATTGCAATGGGCTCGTTCTCGGGCTGAAGCACACTTCCCCAACAGCGTGGCTAGAGTGACTCCGATTGTTGCGCATGGTGCCGAGTGTTCATGCCATGATCCTACATCATTCTTATTGTTGCTATGAGCTTTAGTACCTGTTGTTCTCAGACAGGCCAGGTCTCATCAATGGTGCGTTTGCGACCTGGGATGAAAAATTGGTTGAGCCAATCGGGAGAGCATGACGCTTGAAGCTGGCGGGACAGGGTTGCAAATGCCTCCAGTCATATTCAAATCATGAAGAGGCAAGAGAGTAAGAGCACGCTCTGGACAGAATCTTTTCCTGTCGAAGAACTTTACTGACATGGATCAATTCCTTCAAGGGTTGAGGCTGTTCCGGGTCCCCGCACGTCGCCCCCGACGCTGGTCACGGTCGCGATAAGAATCAATGTCTCTTCAATGAGCTGGATTACCTCGCGATTTTCGAGCTCAGTGCGTGTGGGTTAATCGGTTTAACACCCGAAGCCCCAAATCGCCAGGAGTTCTGATTCCTGAGACTACCAGACTGAAATTCGCCTGGGCACGAAGGCAAACTCAGAGAAGAAAGCAGTGAAGGATGCAATTGCTGCCGAAGTGCTACCAAAACCAAGTCGATGATGTTCCAGGCACAACCTCACAGCTTCGGCTAGTAATTTCGGGACCGAATGACTGTGGAACTGCTACTCGTGCTAGGAGTATGACGTTCGCTAATTACGATGCCTGACCGTCGAAGCACGACCAACATGAAGACTATGCCACTATTCGGCGAATTATGTTTTGAGAAATCGCAGACTTTCTGATCGCACATGTACGCCCACAACCCATCTCGCCTGGCTTGCATCATGTATGTTGGAACGGAGAAACGTGGGGACATCAAAGTAAGCCTTCCAAACAGCAGAACTAAGATCCTTATCGGAGCAGGCAGAGTCTTGAGCCTTGGGGAAATCTCAAGTCACAATCGTCAACGAAGCAGCCGTACATCGTGAAGAAGCGGCACCGGTGAACGAAAAGACGGAGGCCTGAGCAAGGGCAGCAGAGTGGAGCATGCGCAGGTGAACCTTTAACAGTAGGAACCTGTAGGACCTGAACTGTGCCCTTACAGTGTGGAGTCTTTCAGAAGCACAAGAGTCCGAAGTGCAAGCATGACATGATCCAGGACCGACAACGGCGACGCGTGCAGCTCAACAGCCAACAACTGAAAGCCGTTGAAGCCTAAACCTCAAACTCTAGCGACCAGAACTAGGAAAACCGCGCGAGCTAGCATCTCGGTTACCGCGTGCTGATGCCAGTAGCGGCAGCGGCAGCAGCACAAGCAGCAGCCGAAATGAAAACAACAATAATAGTACGGCTAGTAGTGGTTAGGAGCAGCAGTACTGCCTGCTACTGCCACAACCAGGCCAGCAACACCACTACCACTGCTAGTACCAATACCACTCGCTCAGGCTGACGAGGCCTACTTCAACAGTGAAGAAGATGCAGAAGATGATGTCTGTGACACGAAAGCCGATGGGCACCTTGCAACGAGCCACAGAGGGTGTGGATTCAGCAACGGCTCAGGGTGGGAGTGTAGGGTTCGAAGCTGTGGTGCGGGGTTGGGCAAAAGGTCTGCCGAACACTTCAGTCTTCGGACCCTGCTGCATCTGTCATTGATCTACGGAAACTCAGTTAAACTCGTCGCAACAACCTTGCTAGCCAATTAGTCAAGAAACAGAAGGCATCACACAGTACCACTAAAGACTCTAAAATGCACCTTGTCAGGATGCATTAGGATACTTTCAGGGATTCATATTTCAGCAACTCCCTCCACGCCATGCTGCGGGGCTGGGCGGGGATTCCTTTTCAGCTAGCCTGGGGCTATTGGCTTTTTTTGGAGAATAGGCCCAGCCCAGGAGCCGTCCGAGACTCTGCGGCAGCGATGAAGTCGATCTGGATGCCGATTTGAAGGGAGTTGAGGAGAATCCTCTGACGGGAAGAATTGAAAAAAAAAAGAAAGGCACATTGAAGAATACTTATACAGTGGACGGAGGCTTAATTGACGGACAGTTCAAAGCCAGAATTCGAATGCTTAGCGACTTCAGCACTATGTAGCAGAGTTGATAGCTCACCTTGCTCACACTGATGCTGTCGCGAACATTGGAATGACACGGAGGTCTGGATGAGTCTGGATGCTTGCCGAAAAGTAATGTCATTGCGCCTGGTACACAGCAGATGCTGATGCTGCAAAAGCTCCAGCCAAAGTGGAGCCCGCCGTCAAAATACTACAAGACGACGTATGTGGAGATGCCGTTGAAGCTCAAAGAAGCGAATTTGGCGTTAGTCATCATGAGGTTAACCACGATATTGGTCAGCACTTCTCGTAACACAGAGGGATGCTTGCGGCCGAGGTTTGTTCGTCGCCCTTACATGGCACCCGTCAAGACCCCGTCATGACCATCGTGCAGCACTCGAAGTAAGCGCTGCAGATGATGCGTCGAATCCGCCTGGTCCCAGGAGCTACGCTTTCGCAAACCTTCTCGGGGCGCTGTCTCGGGAGTTGTCGCTGTTGGGGGGATTCTTTGGCGAGACTGTGACGTGGGGACTCAGGCAGATGGGCTGCGGCTGCTCAAAGGCGGTATAGGCGACGTTGCATGCACAACTGCCAAGATGGCCAGAAAGAGCGGACGAGAGCGGCAGCAAGAAAGAGTGCCTTTCTTCTTGGGCTCTCGTGAAAGCTTTCCAGGCCTTCGCAGAGTGACGCTCGACTTCAAGGCATCAGACGCATCGCCGTCCTCCGTAGTAGAACTGCGCAAACGGGGGGAAACCCGTACTGCTAGGCCCGGGTAAGAAGCATACTATTTTCCTCGAAAGCAAGCAGCTGTCAACAGGTCAACCAAGGCTTTGCTCGAGATCCTGGATCCCACAACCTCCAGAAAGTCTCCTGGATGTTCTGCCAAACTGGGCACGTCTGCCGACGACCCCTTCAAAGGGAAGGCTTCCCACTTATGAGAATCTCGGCTTTGGGGTTGTAGCATCTCCGTCTTCCTGTTTTAAAGACAGGCAAGGGCTCCTCGTCGACCTCTCTTTTGGCATCTGGGACAAGGCCAAAGACTTGCTCAGCCAGGACCTGCCGAAGCGGGATTTTGGGGTAGGCTGGACATGTCACACTGCAGCAAGGCACCGACATGCTGAAACTGTGACCACTGTTGCAGCTGACCTTCGCACACCAAAGCAGATCTAGTACATGAATTCGTCGGTAGTGCAAATAGCCGTGCAGTCGGCAACTGCCGCAGCGGCAGAAGTCAGGTCCAGTTAGAATGGGCACAGTCGTTGCCGTGATGATCGCGCTCGTGTTCGTTCCGTTCGCGCCGTGTACCAAAACCATTACACTACTTGTATTGCTACTTTTCTCACGGCTTTTCTCCTTAGCTACTGCTTACTGTATTGCTGCAGGCACCAAGGATGCCAATGCCACGACTCTGACAGATATCCTGGTTATCGTCTTCTACTTCTGCACCATCAACACCACCGTCATCACTTATCATTATCAACATAAACATCATCATCGACCTCAGCATCATCAACATCACCGTAATTCTACTGTATTGCTTCTAGCTCGGCTGCAGTTTCTCCTGCTATGACGAGGGTCTGGTGGACATCACAGGTTCGCTGCGGTTGCTTGGGCCGAGCTCGACTCATATCTCGGGCAGAGTCTAAAGCAGTCGCCGGGTCCTCGGCTCGGGGGCGCCTGGCTGGTCTTCGTCTTGAGAGTCTTCGACGGCGAGTGGCCCACGCTGAAGGAAACTGGCACGGGTCGAAGCTTGAACTTCCCGACTTGAACCCGAGGCTCCCAGATGTCTGTCTGATGTGCGATCTGCTTCAAGCCACTGAAGGCGACTCGATCTAGACTTTCGACTCGCACCTCTCCGCTGACCCACCTGACGCGGCGGCGATGCAGCATCGGTGTCTGGCAGGCGTGTAGGCGGAGCTAGATCGCCGAGATGAATCACGATGAGAGTCACGATGTTGTGCACAACGAACAAAAGGATCATAACAACAGTTCAAAGCTTTTGCAACACTGTCACAAGTGGCAACTGCCATTAACATCATCAATGGCAGCACTGGCAGCAGCATTGTCAGCAAACTGGAAGTTTGGATGAAGAAGCTCTAGAGTGAAGGAAAGTCGAAAAATGAAAAACTTTACTGTCTAAGCAAAATGAAGCAGAGTACTCCGAATCGCAACAACTCAAGCAACAGCGGCCACAGTGCTGACAGAGTCCTGACACCCATGCCTGTACTCAAGCACAATGATCGAAGCAGACAAAGATGTCGAAGTGGCAAAGATCACAATGCTCAGGCAACGGTAAATCATTGCAGTTATGGCAGAAACGACACTCCTGTTCTGTTGTAGGTACGAATGTGGTTGGGATAATGACGGACATAACACCAGCTGGTCCGGGCAACGCAGGGCAAGAATCACGGCCAATCAGAAACCCTGAAGAGCCATTCCAGACAGCAAGCAGCGTCATGATCATCATCTCCGTCTGACCTGCAACGTTCTGCAGTGTATGCCCGGATCCCTGAAGCTGTCAAAAAGACGTGACCTGAGAACCCTGCAGGCACAGCGGTGGCCTGTGGCACCAAAGGCATCCTCCTTGCACGCTGAAGGTCACTACTCGCTGAGTTCACCAGAAGGCACGGCAGAGCGACAACCCGTTGTGAAATCAACGAGGATGCAACATGTTGGCTGTCCTGCAATTGTCCCAGGACCTTCGAGGAGACCATCGTCCGTAACGGACGCTCCATTTGCGGCCGATACCTTGGCAACGTCGGCCAATCGGATATGGAGATAAACACATGCCCCTGAGCCTGGGAAAGGGCAGCAATGGTTTGGTTCATGCTCATGAACTTCTCTCTTCGATTCGGTTCTACTTTCCGATGGTCCTCGTCTGACCGAAAAGCCTCGAGGGCCTGGGGTTCGAAAGGATCAATGATCCATCAAACGGTCCTTTTTGCACGGTACATCATGTTGCCATGGGTTACCAACAAAGAGACATCCAAGAGCAACCCTTCGTGCAAGAACACGAGGGGCCCCTAAGCGCAAATGCCCGATGTCAAATGCTGCTGCGAAGATGATACACATGTGACTATCAGGGAGGTTGATCGTCATGGCGATAATGATGACATATGAACGTGACTCCGGGTGCCCCGACGTTCCTTTCAGGAGCTCCTGGCGCCAAGAATTTCGGACTCTCGTGGTAGGACAGGGGCTTCTGGGCTGGGCTTTGGGAGATTTCGGGGGCACTGGTTGCTGAAGCTCATGGAGGGCTTCAGACTCGGGGTTCTGCCGTCCTTCGCTCACTGAGAGCCACGGACTGAAGGAGCTGTGCTCAAGCACTTTTCAACCAGCTAGAGAACAAGAGCCACGGCACACACAACCCTGTCGATACATCCCAAAGACGAACGGACCCCACCGGACCCCACCAAACTGTACCAGTGCAACCGGGCAACTTTCGGAAAGACAGCAAAACCACACGAAGAACCAGTGAAATGCAGATGAACTGCCGTGAACCGCGAGCCCCACAACTCGGAAGCTCTCTCCCCTCAAACCTCGAATGCTGAAAAACATCTGAAAGCTCAAGCCATTCAACTCCAGTTAGGAGGAATGATGCTGAGGGCCTACACCGAAAAGGCTAAACTTCAAGCACCTTTGATCCCCCGAGCCTCAGCCTTGAAACCCAAGCCGCCCAAGCCCCGAGGACCCCCGACAAAAACCCCGCACAAAAGAGCCAAAGCCAAAGCCGCCCTTCCTTTCCCTCACCGCTTCTGGCGCCTGCGGTGCAGCGAAGAGAGCCGAGTCCTCGGAGCCCTGGCCGCCCAGATTCACTTCGGGTGGGGGGTCGCTCCTTGGAATCTTAACAGCCTAGCAGCGTCCTGAAAGAGGAGAGAGAGAGAGGCGCCCTTCCCAAGTCCCGCCAAAAAGGAAGCGTAGAAGCAGAGACAACCCCCCAAACCTCCCGTGCCCGGCGGTCCCACCTGGCCCAGCGGCATCAGGTTCGCGGAGGGCACAGAGGACCTGCGCGGTTAAGAGAGACAACGGAAGCTCTCTGCTTTTCTAGAGCTATTAGATTCAGACGAGGACCCGGATTTGATGCACGCTCTGCCGGTGCATGCTCCCACAAAGATCCCAACCTCCTCCCCTACTTTACCACCTGCCTCACCCGCTTGCAATGAAAGTAAACCCTGAAATTCCACCTCCTTCAGGAGTTTCTGCTTCTCCGTGAACACTCCAACACCCCGGTCTGTGTTTCACCCGAACTAATAGAAACGAGAAGGGCAGTCTCGTAAGTCTACAAGGCCGTCTACAAATACTCCAAGTCATCGCGAATCTGACAGACTTATACTGAATCCTACTATCCAACGGACGACGTGTGCGATCTTTCAGCTCCCAACCTTGGCTCCAGCTGATTCCGTGCCAGCGTCTCCTCGCATGATTTCTTCACTGGCATAACAGAACATAATGTATCATAGCTTATTCAGAAGTGCTTCGAAGATCCGTTGCTCTGAATGGCATTATTCACTCCAGTGCTGTCTCATGGCCAAGCAAAGAACCTCGCTCCAAGAAGTTGGTGTTGTCTTCAAATCCTTTGTGAAACAAGAACATATCTCGGAAGCTGCACCACCGCGGTGCGAATAGAGCGCCGCAACTCACATCTACAATAGCTGCGATTTGCATGCTGACCAGTGCAGCCTGGTTTCTGGGTCCGCTACTAGCTACACCACCCGTGCTCTGAGATTCAATCGCTCATCACGTTCGTGGGGAGGCATCTTGATGGAGCTACAGCTTGAAGCATTCGGCCCCGTCTTAGATCTTTGCCGTACTCCCTGCGTTGCCCTGCTTAGCAGCAGTGCTTGGAAGTTGCAAACATGACTGAATGCTTTGAGAGGGTGGTCCTCCATCTGGCCAGTGGCTTTGTCAAGCCGCATCTCCATCTGATCACAATACACATGGAGATGACTTGTAAAACAACCTAACGCGTCGAGCGTGCCTTTCAGGAAAGACATAACAACATAACACAACCTCGAACTGCTTGCAAGCTGTTGTGTGCTTGTTTGGGCAGGTTGTTTGAACTTTCAACGCTAAGCCCAATCCCTCAACCATACTGAAACCCAAAAGGAACCTGCCTAGCACCACTCCAGCGTTCACATATCCACGCTCCTCAACACTTGACTGTATGTCTGAGCGGCCTAGGACATGCAGAGACATGCATCCCGCTTTTTATTGAAGCACGGATGCAAATCATCCCAAGGACCAGCAGATCATCCCCGAAGCCGCGTGGCCATGCACTGTTGGCGCAGATGGTCTCAAAACCCTGTCAGTTACGCGACGGCCTTGGCCAGGAGGCTTTGTGTGGACTCCGTGAGCTCTGCTTGAACTTGCTGACAGATGTCTGTGGACCTCGGATCTTCCGAAGCTTCGCGGAAAACCTCTCCGTAGCTGAGACCTGCATAGTTCTCGGCGCCTGGGAATGTCGAGCTTGAAAGGGGGTGCTTCATGCGTGCAGGCATTTGGAGAATCCTGGCAGTGACGGACGCTGACACATGCACAACGCCTTACACCTTCATATGTGCATGCCATGTAAGCTTGTTCATGTACTACATGAACAGGCATGCTGGTGAATAATAGCCACCAAAACAAGTTTGAGTAGTCACACAGATAGATAGATGAATAGACAGACAACAGATAGGTAGATAGATCGATAGATAGGTCGATAGATGACAGATAGATAAACAGATTGATAGACAGCTAGATAGACAGATCACGATAGATAGATAGATAGATAGACCCATAGAATATCGATAGATAGATAGATAGATAGATAGATAGATGGATAGATAGATAGATAGATAGATGGATAGATGGATAGGTAGATAGATAGATAGATAGATAGATCTCTCTCTTGCGATGCGAAGGACGTGTAGACTGTTGTGTGGGAATGTGCAAAAGCCCCTGCATCACAACAAATCTTAACCACTGGCGCTTACCCATCATTTGTCATTGAAGCAAGATTCAATTGCGTCAGCTTGTCCTCCACTAGCACAAGAACGGAGTCCACATCTGCAGTGTCAGACAGAGGGGAGTCCACGGCATGGACATGTTCAGTGCATTGACAAACACACACAAATTCAAGCTCCATGAGCGCCAGTGCCTTGCACTTGGGATGATGGACTACTTCGAGATATAAGACTCTTGCAGCATCACACCCCAATAGAACAGAAGCACACCTCTGCCTTCCCACTGCTCTAATTTTCCTTACCTGTTAGCAGACCTTGAAACACTTCAACACTTCGTACGCGAAGGTTGAAGCCGCAGCATGCATGTTGCCAACAACAGACAAGCCTTCGTGGATCCACCCCGCAGAGACCATCGCCCCAGAAGCGACCGTCATGTCAGGGGCGTCGTCTTCAAGAAATGCTTCAGTCTAGGATACACCACGGATGGTCTTGACCCTACAGTTGCACCTTCGGGGGCAAGGACGGTGCTAGAATGGGCGGCTATGCCAACGACTCATGGGCATAGTGTGTGCACTGACATTGATTCTGATTCACACGGAGCCTCAAGAGCTGCAGAAGCCCTGCTTTGCCTTCGGCGTAGGGCCCGACATGCCTCAAACCCAATGCTCTTTTTCACAACTCCGCATTCCTACTCTTCCAGGCTACTCTTATCAACAGCGAAATGGCAGCCACTAATCACGCTGAAGATGAAGATAACAGCTGGTGATGCTGGTCATGGCGAGGTGATGACTATGACAAGGACGACGTGGATGTGAGATGATGGTGGTGATAAAGCTGTGAAAACGGCAAAAGAATTTGAAGAAATTTGTAGGAGCAACAACCGAGAAACCGGAGACAATGGCTACCATTGGAGTCGGACACAGGAACAAAACCAACACAACAGTACGGGTACTGGCAGCAACCAGCATAGGGTTGTCAGGCGGGTGCGCTGACTACACCTTCTGTTATTTCTACTATGAAAGAGCGACACAGAGAATAGAGCATGCAGGCCAAGGACACGTATTCTACTGTTGGCGTTCCGCTTGTCGAAAGATCGATTCTATGGCTGTCTGTAATAGAGAACTTAAGCTCCCCAAACACACACTCTCGTCTGCGTTCTTAGTGCTGCAGCTTCCGTAACGGGTTCGGCTTCTTGTTGTTGGACTGGCTGCTACTACTCTTTGCAAAGCCTCATCTGCCATGATGCAAGTTCCCTTTAGTGAAGGCATCCAAGCCCCACTGTCAGGCTACTGGTGCAAGTAGTTTTCAGCAGATATGGTTGGATCAGTTGTCGGAGCTCAGTGAACCAGGTCCCTTGCAACGGCAAGGAGGCTGTAGCGAGCTCTGCTGCTACAACTCTGTGCCCATGGCTACTTGCTACTGCTGGTGCTTCTACCACCACTTCTCCTGTTGCGTGCACTGGGGTTTCTGCTGCTGCTCCAGCTGCGACCGCTGTTTCTACCGCAACAAGCGGTACTGCGGCCGCTGCGAGAACGTTCCACATTATTCTCCGAGAACTTCAGCAATCTTGGCATAAGTAGTGTGATCATCGGCAGGATGTCGGTTGCTGCAGTCTTTGGCGTCGATGGTGTACCTTGAGCAAGTCTTCCCCTCTACTAGGGCGAAGTAGTGGCATTGCGACTCTGCGCCACATTTCGCAGCGCAAATCGGGAGGCTCGCTGCATCCTCCTTCTTCCATCCGTCGTAGTAGCCGGACAAGCAATATCCACTTCCAAGCTTCCTGAACCGCGGGTCGGCCTTCAGGGCCCGGGCTTGGCTTCAGAGGAGACTACCGGATCCAAGTACCGAATGCTGTCAAAAAGGGGTAACGTACCTGGCTCGACGACCCCCCAGGCATGATCGTCATCATCAGCAACATCATCAACAGCAGCATCAATGCGGAAATTTAGTAAGCAAATACGACCATCGCTGCTGACACCGCACAGGTTCGAGGGCTTTTGGTTGCTTCTTCCTGCCACTCAGATACTCTCGACCCGAAAGATGACGACGAATGCTGCTAGAGCATCCATGACCAGAGCATTGCCACAGCACCCACACCAGGACCAAGACATCCCCGTTCGAAAAATGTGAAGAAGCCGTAGCCTCGCATTCCAGTTTGACTTTACATATTGTGTGAAAAACACAGTCGCGTGCCGCCGGAAATGAGAACATCATCACCAAATTGCGGTTTGATCGCAGCATCTGTGTTGCAGCTGATGCTGCCGCCGCTTGTGGCTGCTCTGCTGCTGCTCAGACTGCCCTGCAGCTACGGCTACAGCTGCTGCGACGACGAACGACACGTCTGATTACAGCGACGCACACAGCAACTACTGCTGCTGGTGCTCCTGCCAATACGACGACGACGATGCTGCTGCTGCTGCTGCTGCTGCTACTACTACTACTACTAATAATAATAATAATAATACCACCACCACGACTATTACTTGACGACGACGAAATCACCACTATCACCAGCACGACTCCCAAAACAACGACGACGGCAACGACTGTCGGCTGTAATGGCAGTGACACTCTTCTGAGAACTGCCGTCAGTATGATACAAGCTATGATGATCGAAAACAGCATTGATCACCGAACCTTGACGGTCATGACAGCAAAATGCCGAAGGTCAACATCCTAGCCCAGTAATTCAAACCCTGATCCTCACGCTGCCAAGCCGTCTTCCAAGAATTCCCCGACTCTGAACTCTACAACCAAACCACGGATCGTAGAACCTAAACAGCCCCTGGTTTGCCTGCTCCGACTTGGCATAGAGCACATGAGACTCGGGAAAGAACTGACCCCCCTGCGTCACTCGCTGGCTGCAGTCACCGGCTCTAGAATCATACCTGGCAAGTCGTGAAGATTACAATCGCGCACGGGTCCGAGACAAGATTTTAACCGTGTGCAAGAGCAGCACAGGATAGGGTGATTAAACATGAATTGGCAACCAGCGCACCTGGAACAGGTCTTCCCCTCGTAGAGAGCGAAGAAACGGCATCCGGATTCGGCTTCACATTTTGCTTTGCATCCCTGTAGTGTGCTCTCTGCTGGAATCCAGCCGGCATAATAGCCGAGGGAACAGTAGCCGGTCCCAAGCTTCGTAAAATGATACAAAGCCTGCGTTTCTTGGGTCTTGGCATAGGTGATGTGTTCATCAGCTCGATCATCACCAACTTGTCGGTCACTGCAGTCCTTGGCATCGCCTGTGTACCTGGAGCAAGTCTTTCCTTCCACGAAGGCAAAATAGTGGCATTGCGATTCCGTGCCGCATTTCGCCGCGCAGACCGCGAGGCTGATGGCATCTTCAGCCTTCCATCCGGCATAGTAACCAGACTTGCAATAGCCCTTTCCAAGCTTCCTGTAGCGAGGGTCCACCTGATGCGCGCAGCCTACACCTACGATTACCGACTGGGCGGCAAAGAAAGGGCTTTAAAAAGGCAATACGTGGAGGTGTAGTCGGGCAAAGATGATGTTCCAGCCTTCTCCGTCTTGGCAAAGGTCGTGTGCTGCTCCGGCGAGTATTCGCCACCCTCTTCAACTCTTTCATTGCAGTCCCCGGCTCGAGAGTCGTACCTCGGTGTGGAAAGGGAGCTCTCTGATACAGGCTTCATGGCACGAAGTCCCTGACTCTGATTTTGACATCCGCGCCACCTGGAGCATGTCTTCCCCTCATACAGTGCGAAGAAGCGGCATTTTTCCTCTTTCGGCACAGGGGCTTGGTCTCTGGGCTTAGGGCACCAAGTCTGCACTTTGGGGTTTCAAATGGTTTGAAACCGGGTCCTCTTCTTGGCACTTGGCCTTGCAGCTCCCAAGATTACCGTCGGCCGCAACCCATCCTGATGAGGCGATGCAACAATACTCTGGGGGACAAGTGCGGGTCTTGGACGGGTCTTGGCTCTTCGACAAAAGCGGCCATCCACAGGATCGGAAAGGGGGCCCAAAGGAATATAGGGAATACAACCATTTCTACGTCTACGTCTTCTGCTACCGCTCCGATTACCGTTCTTGCTTCTTACTACTGCTGCTACTACTACAACTACAACTATTGCTGCTGTTGCTGCGACTACCTACAGCTACTGCTGCTGATACTGCTGCTACTACTACTACTACTACTGCTACTACTACTACTACTACTAATAATACTACTACTGCTACGACTACTACTACGACTACTACTACTCCTCCTCCTCCTCCTCCTCCTCCTCCTGC